CCCACATTTATTTATCTTTCTTGCAGATTCATATTCAATGGGGTTAGAATAGATGGCCTTCAGGGTTCCTCTAAGATTCTACAAGCCATTGGCAGAAAGGGTAAAAATGGGGACCGGGTGAGGCTAGGGCCTTCCTCTTTGTGTGGCCTTTTTCTCTTCCCAGAGAGGCTCCAGGAACTGAAAGTTCAGCCAGTTTGTTTTGCTCATTGAGTCTTCTCCTCCCTGGGGACATGAGTCATTGTGTGAGGCCCAAGGTCCCGAAATGAGGAAAGAGGGCAAGCAGCCTGAGAAGAAATGAAACCATGTCCCCCACATGCAGAGAAAGCCATGCCATTACTCTTAGCCCACGCTGTGTCCTCCTCAACTGGGGCTGCCCTTGAGGACAGCTCAGAAACCACACTGGCATAGACCTTCCAAAGCACTGAACAGGTGAAGGAGGTCATACCAAATTGGAAAGTGCTCCAGAGATTCTCGGCTAACCTTTAAGCTAAACTCAAGGTCCAAGTTTCAGGAAGGAAAATGGTGCCACCAAAACAGACCCTTATTAATACAATAAATACTTATTAATTTCCATCAGGTGACTATTCTATCAACCAGACCAGCGGTTGTAAAGTCGAAGGCTTTCGCAGCTGGCATCCATAGTTTTTTTGTGGGTTTTTCAGGCTCTGTGGCCATGTTCTAGAAGAGTTTATTCCTGACGTTTCGCCAGCATCTGTGGCTGGCATCTTCAGAGAATGCTGGCATAGAAGTGAGTGGGGCATATAATATATATGGCTTACCCACCTGACCTTCCTAATTTGTAAAAAACTAATTGTCTTATCAATATGACCTTCTGGGTGTGTGAAGATGAAGTCAACCGGCTCTCTGGATAGGGTAGGGTATGGGCTTTAATTTAGAGGGGTTATGGGGTTTTATTGTGGGGGGGGGGGTGATATCGTTGTTGCGGTTTTTATATATTTTATGTTTTGTATTTTTATATTACTTGTTATCCCGCTTCGATCCTTAGGGAGAGGCGGGAAATATAAATAAAAATTATTATTATTATTATTATACTGCGTGACCCTAGGTTGGGAGGAGTGATTTACATGTTAATCTGTGTGTTGTTCTGTTGTTGAATGGCAAGGCCTCAGGATGGGAGGATCTGCAAGGAGGATTTGTGTCTATGTAATGAGTGATCCATTGTCTGCTGGAAAAACCCTGACCCTGGGTGGTTTTCATTTGCAAATGCTGGGTCTTGATTTTGATGTTTTTCAGGACTGGTAGCCAAACTTTGTTTACCTTAAGGGTTTCTTCTTTCCAGTTGAAATTGTCTAGGGGTTTGTGGATTTCAATGGCTTCCCTGTCCATTTGGACCCAAGAGTTGACAGCATGGTCCAGAATTTCAGTTCTTTCAAACAGCATTTTATGCCCAGGATGGTCTATAAGGTGTCCTGTTATTGCTGATTTGGAGTCTGTTTGGGTTAAGACTCCAAAAGTTTCTAAATAAGGGGTGGGCAAAGTACAGACTGGCGGTTTTGTGGCCCCCAAGGTTCTTGGGGTAACTTTTTGGGGGGGGTGGTGGTGGTGGAAAGAAATTGTTCCAGAAATATCCCCAAACACCAGGGATATACAATTGAGTCAACTGTCTCGGACTCAAGTCACTTTAATGACTCGACTTGGACTCGACTTTGGTGGCGTCATCAGGGTTGGTATCGCCTACGACTTCAAATTGGAGGAACATTGTTCCAGCAAATCAACTTCTTCATCCCGTTGCTCTGTGCCACTCTGGTCCGGTACCTTTTTTGTCCTGGCCAAGCCAATGTCCCTAAAATGTTCTGTACTATTTTTCGACAAGCCCTGATGCTGAGGAATAGGAATGACATACTTTGATGGCTGGAAGTTGGCCCTGTTTTTGGGGGTGGTGCATTTGAATTCTCAGTGGGTTTAGGAAATTCAAGTAGCATGTATCAGTGCCAGGATTGGCACCGTGTTTGCATCCATTGATGGTGTATTCCTGTGGGGGTTGGATTGGATGACCCTTGGGGGTCTCTTCCAACTCTATGATTCTGTGATTTCACTGTTTAAATACATTTAGGGCTGGCAGAGAGAGGAAAGGGCAGGGCAGGTGTTACAGGACCCCTGTGAAATTGGAAAAACCGTAAAAAAACAAAACAAAACACCGCTTTTTTTTAACCTGAGAAAATACCTCTCTATGAATCTCCAGGTCCTCCACTGCAACTCTATGGTCAACATCTGCCAGATGTTGACCATAGAATCATGCTGGAGGAGCTACAAATCCCTAAGAAGTGTTTCCTCTAGTAACCTCTAGGTCCTCCAATGCAACTCTATGGTTAACTTCTGGCAGAGTTGCGCTGGAGGACTTAAGAGATGCCTAGAGAAGACATATTAATCACATCTGCAATTAATCAAAGCCACACAAGTCAAAGCTGCAAATGTGGAGGGACAGCTGTTACTGTATAATTCCATTTGAGTCCCATTGTAGGATATAAATCCTTTAAATAAATAAATAAAAATAACTCCTACATACGTCAGAATTCTTATTAGGATCCGAAAATATTGTACAATTTTCTCAAAGCAAGTTAAGAAGAAAAATTAAAGTGCAGGGTGATTAATAGTCCCTGTTTTCGTAAGAGAATTCTTAAAACTATAGTTTTGCATCGGAAGGGCTACAGAATTTCTAGGTCAGGATTCAAACGAGTCTTTGGAAATAATCATGGTACATCCATCTAAAATACAATACAATACATACAATACAATAAATGAAATAAAAATAAAAAATAAAACTGCTGAACAGTTTGGAGCTTTTTAGGTATAACCCAGAGGGGTTAAAAATCTTCCTTGGTTCTTTCTCCATTTATCCCGTCTTGATTTGGGTCACACGCTTTATACATTTTGCAGATTAAAGAGGTTTTTTTTTTTAAATATATAACAAAACCTATGAAGGAGGGTGAGGAGGATGTGTTAAAACACAAATCAAACTTTCATCCCAAACCAGAAAGTCGAGCGATTAGGGCAGAAAAGAAACAGACCATGAGCCAGCGGCGTGACGCTACAGCACAAAAAGGCCAAAGTCATTTTAACTGCATTTTCCTCTCAAGACTAAACTGAACCATATTGCTTTGGGACACCACCAAATTGCCATCAAATTAGACTCGATGCTCCAAAAGACCTTGGTGACATGATCTCCTTGCATTCCTATTGCGTGCCTCAATGCAATGCAACCCCCTCCCCATAAAGTTACAGTCTCCCAAACTCCCTTCAACAGATAGATCCCAAGGTTTAACTTTATGGCAGCCCTTAGGGCCTCCTGCTTCCCCAACCAGTTTGGCCAGCGTTACTGACATTTTTTAAAAAGCACCAAAATACCTGTCTTCTTACTGCCCTAAGGTCTAAAGCTGTCTATTTGTTTTAGACCTTATACGTTTAGTGAAACTATGGAATTCCCTACCATAAGATGTGATGATGGCTTCTAAAATGGGATTGAACAAATCCATAGAGGCCGGGGCTACCAATGGCTTAAAAATCATTGGCTATGTGGTTCTTCCATTACTAGAGACACATTGCTTACTACTACTAGAATAAGAAGACCCTTACTTCTTAAAGTATGGGTGGGATTCGGGATTTTATGTTCTGTTTAATGTATGGAAATTGTCATGTTGTAAGCCGCCCCAATTGCTCTGCAGAGGGGCGGGATATAAATAAAAATTATTATTATTATTATTATTATTATTATTATTACTACCCTCCTTTCTCCTCCATGAAAATCTGGCTTTCCTTCCAATATTGGAACTCAAGGCAGTTTGCTGCCGCTTTCTGTTGTGCCTTCAACTCATCTCCAACTTATGGCAACCCTAAGGCAAGCCTATGGTGGGGTTTTCTTGGCAAGTTTCTTCCAAGGAGGTTTGGCATTGCCACTCTCTGAGGTTGAGAGAGTGTCACTTGTCCAAGGTCATCCAGTGGGTCTCATGGCTGAGCGGGAATTCGAACCCAGGTCTCCAGACTTGTAGTCCAATGCACAAACCACTATGCCGCGTTGGCTCTCTACTAAGCATTATTGTCTTCGCTAGCAAGTCCTCTCTTCTCATGATATGTCCAAAGAATGAAAGCCTCAATTCGATCATCTTGGCTTCCGGGGAGATTTCAGGCTTGATTTGCTCTAGGACCCATTTCTTTGTCTTTTTGGCTGTCCTCAGCCTTAGAGGATGGCAATGGCAAACCTCCTCTGAACAACTCTTGCCAAGAAAATCCCAGAAGAGGTTGGCCTTGGAGTTGCCATAAGTCAGAAATAACTTTGAAGGCACACACTACCGCATTAAAGCACATGCAGATTTGGGTGGGATCCATTTTCTTGGTACTCTTTGCAGCAGCAGAAAACATGCTTGCTCCATCTTCAGTAGGCTATCCTTTCAAATATTTTACAGAATCCCGGAATCCTAGAGTTGGAAGAGACCCCCAAAGGTCACCCAGACCAACCCCCTTCTGCCATGCAGGAATTCACAATCAAAACATACCCGATAGATGGCCATCCAGCCTCTGCTTAAAAACCTCCAAAGAAGGAGACTCCACCACAATCTCCAAGGCAGCATCTTTCATTGTTGAATAGTTGTGTTGTTGCATGCAGCGCACTAGAAATAGGGAGGGGAGCAATTTGCTTCCTGCCTCAGGCAGCACAAGCACTTAGGCCATCCCTGTCACTGGGCAGGGGTTTTGG